TTTTTAAAAAAAAAAAAAAAAAAAAAAAATATTGTTTGGTTATAAAATATGATCATATTTTGGGGAAAAAATTTCAAAAATTTCCAAGTTCCAAAAAACTGGTTTAGTGTAGTTTTTGGATGAAAAGTTTTCTTCCACTCACAAAACTTTAATTTTTCTTCAAATAAAATGTATGTCTAAATACAATTTCAAATTTTGAAAATTATTTTTTAATACAATTTCAAAAACTCTTTTTTCAAGTTTTAATCAAATCTATATCCAAATGCTAGCTTTTAATCCCTCGTGTAAAGTCTGCATGGGACTGTCTAAAATTACTTCAGCTAACCAACTTGATGGTAGCTGATCCTTATCCTTTCCTTTTCCTCCAACTGCATATATAAGCTTCTCTAGAGTTGATCAAACATGAAAATATTCCCATGGCTGCTAATTAGGCTCTAATTGCTTCTCGAGGGTATCTTCTTGGGCTTAATCCATGTTGCATTGGTTCCTTTTACAAAGGAACTTTGTCCCTCATTAGATAGGAAGAGGAAAATTTTTGTGTTTATATATAGAAGCACTTCTTCTAGCTCTTAAAGAGTTAAGAAGAGAGCAAGCCTTACGCCGCCATCGTCATCGCCCACTCGGCTCGACTTCGGCTTTGGATTTCCATTTATATTATTTAATTTTTCCTTTTCTGATATTATTTTCACAGTGGAAATTTGCAGCATTATTTTCTAACGGTCAAATTCGTGACTTAAAATTCATTTAACTCTGAAATTTAAATAATTTCTACCGAATTGGCACCTTATCAAACGAATAGACTGTTGGGCCTATGCCCCATGTTGTCTACTGATGTCGTGCTATAATTCCATACATTTTGACGTTACTTACCCTACTTCCTTGTTGTTTGGATGCTAATTTATGTGACAATTGAGCTTAATAGAGCTTATTTCACGTGTAAGAATGCTTGGACATGAATTGGAGAAAAGTTACACGAAAATAGTACCTCAGAGCTACAAAATGGAGCGATAAAAGAAGATGTGCAAGGCAATGAAAGTCATGGCCATAGACAGTGCAAAGCCTTGTCCAGGGCACTGTCATTAGCTCCCCAGACAGTGCCTCATGCAGTAACATTGGTGCCCCAGACAGTGCCCCGCGCAAAAATATTGGTGCCTCTAACAGTGCCTCGTGCCGATGATGCTATTCGAGCCAATTTTATTTCCTTACTAGTTTTGGATATGTAGACTTCGGCCCCAACCCAATAAATACATCTTAAAGTTGGTTTTTGAAGGGTTAAACATCATTAGAGAGGCAAGAGGATACAGAACACTTTGAAGGCACTAATCACTCGAGTTTTTCTCTCAGCTTTCCTTTAATTTGTAGTTTAATGATTTTAGATATTACTATAATTATTAACACAGTTATGAGTAGCTAAATCCGTCATTTAGGGTTAATGGAACCAAGTGTTGGATGAATTCTTGATTGCATTTTGGTATAATTGAGCCGTTTTTACTCTATAATTGTTCAACTATGTATTTCTTGTTGTTAATTGAAAGGACCTTGATTAATCGTTTCTAGTTATCTTGTGTTGCTTGAGAAAGAACACTTGATTAGATTGTCGTTGACCAATGCCACTTTTGAGTAAGTTAAAAAATTAATTACTTGAATTCAAAAGCGGGATTTGAGATAACAAAGCTTTTGCGCGATATTTATGAGTTGTATGAATTGTCAACTAGAGTAGTTCGAGAGAATACTTCTAGTAAATTATCGTAATTGATTGAGATATAATTGCGGTAAATAATAACTCATCATCTTTAGAGAGTGTTGCGGCAAGATTATAACTAACATACTAGGAATTAATCCGACAATTGGGGAAATCGTTAACCCTAGATCTTTTTATCCTTGATTCAACCTCATTCTTGCTAATTGATAGTTATTATTATTATTATTTTTCCTTAGTTAAGTAATTTCTGTTAATTCATAAATCAATTCTTGAACCCTGAAAGTTGTCTTAGCTTATCATTAATGATACTGAAAAGTTGTAGCAAATAGGTTAGTTCCCTGTGGGATTCGACTCTTGACTCTTGAACCGGATTATTTTAGCGCGACCGCTTAGTCATTTTTATAAGTTGTAGTTGGGCTTGATCAAATTTTAGCATTGTTGTTGAGGAACTGACAGTTTTATTCGTTACAACTTGAAAGAATTGCTATAATTTTTAGTTTAGATCACTTTTCAGTGGTGCTAAAAATATTACCATTGAAATTCTCATGTTTGAATTCGTTTGTGCCTCAGGTGCATGATTAGAAGCTCATTGAGAAATGGTGAACTATTTGAAGGTCTCTCAGATTCCCAGAAAGTATTCAGGACACTGAATTGGGCTAACAATAAGGGCAAACATCTAAAATAGAAGAACAAATCGAAATTAAAATGGGTGACGTCGAGAACGTCAACGGGAACAATATAAATAATTAACTTGACCCAAACATCAGAGTGGTAACACCCCTGGATCCGGAGGCTACTCCATATGATTAGGTGTAACCAACCAACTGTTAACAATCTGGAAACTACAATTGCAGTCCCTTCGATACAAGTAGAGACTTTTCAAATTACATACAACATGCTGCAGAACAAAGGGTTATTTTTCGGATCTTACATCTAAGACCCATAGAAACATCTGAAGAATTTTATATCAATTTGTGTCACTCAAAGACAGCCGAATAAGACATCTGAATCTATCAGTCTGTTACTGTTTCCATTCTCAGTGACTGGGGAGGCTCAAACTTGGCTGAATTCGCTCCTAATAAACTCCATTGCTACTTGGGAGGAACTAGTCAAGCAGTTCTTAAACAAGTTCTGTCCGCCCAACAAGACTGCAAGGCAAATTGATGAGATATTGTAGTTCAAGCAAAAACAAACTGAAACGTTGAAAGAAACTTGGGAGAGGTTTAAGGGTATGTTGGTGAAGTGTCCACACCATGGCATCCCAGATCAGATGCTAGGATAAAGATTCTATATGGGTTTGGCTGACAGCCTGAAGGCCAATGCCGATGCTTCAACCAGGGGTGTATGCTTGAGCAAATCATTCATAGAGTGTAAGATTCTTCTTGACAAGATGACTCAAAATTTAGGCTGGATGACGAGGGATACAACACTCACTCTAATAGTGCATTCTATTGCTCTTGACCCAAATACAAACTCAGAAAACATAGCCACTCTCATGACGAGATGAGCTTGTTGATAAAGAACATTGATGAGATGGGCACGAAACAGGTTCATATTATTGACACAACAAATGGAGGCCTATTCACTCCCTACATTAATCAATTGTGTGTTTTCTCGTGGAGTGGAGAAAATGATAACTTGGTCTTCAGAGAAGACATCAGTTACGTAAATAATTTTGGGGGTCAAAGGCAAGGTGGATAGCAATACTCAGAATCAGCAGTACAGACCAACCCAATAATAGTACAATACCAATCTTGGGGGAGCACGACCACAAGGCTATGTTGTGCCATATCAAAGGCAGCAGGGTTTCAATCAGCAACACCAATAACAGTTGGCTTACCAACAACGTCATCAACAACAGGAGACCATACATGACGACAGTAATTTGATAGAAATCAAGGGCATGTTGCAACAAATCATTGGGACAAATGGAAGGATTCAAGAAAATTTAGCCACACATGACTCGCCTATTAAAGGCATTGAAACTCAGTTGGGCTAGCTATCCATGGCTTTGAACAATCGCCCATAAAAAGTGTTGCCTGCAGATACAAATATCAATCCAAATGAGCAGAACTCGAATCAGTTAATGGCAGTGAGTTTCAAGAATGGAAGGAATTTGGGTAGAGAGCAAGAAGTTGCTCAATCTAATAGAGACGCGGTGCCATGTCATTCGAGATCAATGAGTCGAGGGAGATCACAGAGGTTGTAATTGAACAAGAACAAGTTGACAAAGGCAAGGAATAGGAAAGTGAACAGTTCCCAGAACAGGTAGTGGAAAAGACTTCTAATCAGGAAAAGACACAGAGCAGTGGGCAGAAGCTACTTCCAGCACCAATACCTCAAATGTTGGAAAAGCAAAAGAAAGATGATCAATATAGGAAATTCATGGAAATGCTCAAACAAATTCAATTGAATATTTTGCTGATGGATGCTTTGAGGGAAATGCCAGGCTATGCGAAAATGATGAAGGATTTGATGTCTCGAAAGTTTGACTTCCAGGACCTGTCTACTATAACTCTAACTCAAACCTGTAGTGCGGTAGTGACAAGACCTATGGCTAAAAAGTTTTTTGATCCTAGTAGTTTCACTATCTCATGCACAATTGGAAGTTATGCTTTTGCTAAAGCATTGTGTGACTTGGGAGCCAGCATTAACTTTATACCTTTGGCAATCTACACAAAGTTAGGCATTGGCAGAGCTAGACCAACCTCAGTTTTGTTGCAACTGGATAATCGCATGGTGAAAAGGCCAGTAGGAATTCTAGATGATGTGCTCGTCCAAGTGGGGAAGTTTGTATTTCCTGCTGATTTTGTTATACTTGACTGTCAGGTTGACGAAGAAATACCCATAATTTTGGGAAGGCTATTTTTAGCCACTAGGAGACCATTGATTGACTGTGATACTGGAGAGTTAAAAATGAGAGTGAATAATGAAGAAATAATATTCAATATTTAACAATCTATGAGGAGGCCCGATGAATTTGCAAATTGTTCGTTAGTGGAGGCAGTTGAGGTGATACTACAAGAGGAGGATGAGACTCATAATGTCAGAGACCCATTAGAAGCTTGTTTGATGAATTTGAAAGAAATGGATGGTGAAGAGTTGGCAGAGTGGGTTATGGCTCTCGAAGGTCAAGGGTTCTGGAAAAGGGAACCTCAATTCGAGCCACTACACTAAGAAGAAAGAGAAACACCACCTATAAAGCCATGAATAGAGGAGCCACCATAGTTGGACCTAAAACCGCTTCGAGCTCACCTCAGGTATGCTTTCTTAGGGCCTAACTTTACTTTACCTATTATTATCTCAACTGGTTTGTTAGTAGTGCAGGTAGAACAACTCTTACAGGTGTTACAAGAATATAAGACTGCTATTGGTTGGACCATGAAGACATTAAGGGTATCAACCCAACCTTTTGCATGCATAAGATTCTCTTGGAATAGAGGCACAAGACTTTCAGGAACATCAAAGAAAGTTTAACCCGAACATAAAGGAAGTGGTGAAGAAGGAAGTGATTAAGTGGATGGATGCGGGCATCATTTTTCCTATCTCGAGTAGCGTCTCGGTAAGCCTAGTCTAATATGTTCCGAAAAAAGGTGGCATGACTATTGTATAGAATAATAATAATGATTTGATCTCTACTCGTACAGTCACAGGTTGGCAAATTTTCATGGATTACAGAAAATTGAACATCGCCACCCGGAAAGACCATTTTCCTTGTCGTTCATTGACCAAATATTGGATAGATTGGCAGAGAGGTCTCACTTTTGCTTTTTGGATGGATATTCGAGGTACAATCAGATCACAGTAGACCCTAAGGATAGAGAGAAAACGTTATTCACTTGTCCATATGGCATCTTTGCCTTTCGGAGAATGCCGTTTGGCCTATGTAATGCACCAACCACTTTTCAGAGGTGTATGCTAGAAATTTTCACTGATATGGTTGAAAATAATGTGGAAGTTTTTATGATGATTTCTTAGTGGTGGGGAATTCCTTCGATGACTGTCTCAATAATTTGAGAAGAGTATTGAAAAGGTGTGTGGAGACAAACCTAGTGTTGAATTAGGAGAAGTGACATTTTATGGTACAAGAAGGTATAGTTTGGGGCATCGAAAGTCAAGGAAGGGCATTGAGGTCGGCCATGCTAAGGTTGAGATGATAGAGAAGTTGTCACCACCTACTTTGCTCAAGGCAGTAAGATGTTTTCTTGGGCATGCCAGTTTCTACATGCAATTTATAAAGGACTTCTCTGAAATTGATAATCCCTTATGTAAACTGCTTGAAAAAGATTACCTATTTGTGTTTTCTGATGATTGCAGGTTAGCATTTTATGAGCTGAAGAAGAGACTGGTGACTGCACCAATCATCGTTTCAACCAATTAGGAGAAACTATTTGAGCTCATGTGTGATGCGAGCAATTATGCTATAGGAGCAATTTTGGGGCAACGAAAGGACAAAATTGTGCATCCAATCTACTATGCAAGTAGAACGCTAAGTGATGCACAACTCAATTATGTCGCGACTGAGAAAGAGAAATTGGTTGTGGTGTTTGCATTCAACAAATTCAGGTCTTATTTGATAGGTTCAAAAGTGATTTTTTATACTGACCATGCAACACTTAGGTACTTGATAGCAAAAAAGGAGTCAAAGCCATTCTTAATCCATTGGGTTCTTTTGCTACAAGAATTCGATTTGGAGATCTACGATAGGAAAGGAATGGAGAACCAAGTGGAAGACAACCTTTCAAGGTTGGAGGGAGATGAAAAGAATGTAGAGGTTGAAGATACAATAGAGACATTCCCGAATGAACAATTACTAGTAGTAGTAATGGAGGAGACGCATTGGTATGCTGGTATTGCTAACTATTTGGCAAGCGGTATTATACCTTATGAACTCTCTTCGACTCAAAAGAAAAAGTTCTTTCGTAATTGTCGGTCTTATTACTGGGAAAAACCTTTACCTTTTTAAATATGTATGGATAACATGATCCGGAGGTATATCCCAAGAAAGATCAATCTTCTATTTTACAGTCCTACCACGCTACACCATATGTGGGCTCTTTGGAGGAATTCAGACAGTGGCGAAGGTGTTGGAGCTGGGTTTGTATTGGCCGACTCTATTCAAGGATGCCCATGCATGGGTGAAAAGTTGTGATGAGTGCCAAAGAACTAGCAACATATCTCTTCATCATGAGATCATCATGAGATGTCGATGACTACAATTCAAGAGATGGAAGTGTTTGACATGTGGGGGATTGATTTTATAGGATCATTTGTCAGCTCATATAGTAACAAGTACATATTGGTAGCAGTTGTGTCACGACCTCGGTTCGCCCTCCGTAAACCATCATGACGGCACCAAGTCCTCTACGACTAGGTAAGCCTAAATTGCGTAAAATAACCAAAGTGCGGAATAAAAACAAATTAAAACAGAAGGAAGAGTGATAAAATAGTGTTTAAAGCGCCACTAGGCATACATAATGTTTAAATCTCAGAAACCAATACATATCTCCAAGACCCGAAAACTCATGAATCACAAGCTATGGATCACTACACAGTACTCTAACCCCAGAATATCTAACAAGGAAAAGAAATACAGAAGGGCAAATGTTTAAAAGCTAGAATAGAAATGGACTCCTCGGTCTGCGGACGCGGCATATATACCTCGAAGTCGTTGAAGCAGTTGCCTCGCCTCAAGGGTGATAGGACCGAATCGCAGTACCTGGATCTGCACATGAAAAACATGCGCAGAAGGGGCATGAGTACGCCACATTGGTACTCAGTAAGTGCCAAGCTTAACTTCGGTCAGGTAGTGACGAGGAAGGTCAAGGCCCTACTGAGGTTAAATAAAATATAAAGTTTGATAGTGTAGAACAGAACAGTATAAATAAATACAGCGGTAAAAGTAACATATGATATAAAAGGGAAACGACAATTATTACAAAGACAAGGCAAAACACGTAAAGAAATGCGACTTAGCACCAAAATAACAACTGGGGATCTCCCAGGATCCCGTAGTCCCATATGTACATATCTAATGGATCTCCCGGGATCCCGTCCCGTAGTCCAACTCATACTGCACGGGGATCTACCGAAATCCCGTTCCGTAGTCCTAAATATAAATACCAAGTACTGGAGGAATCTACCGGGTGCATTCCCGTAGTTCTATATAACTGTGTAGGGGATCTACCGGAATCCCACATCCGTAGTCCCAAAATAAACAGACAAAGCTACCAGAATCCCACATCCGTAGTCCAAAAATAAATACACAGTAGTAACAGGAAAATATACAGAAATGGCAAAATTTCATATTAAGGTAACAAGTGATTCTAGCCTAGCATGCTGCACAGAATTCAGGTAAGGCAGGTTGAGGAAATAAAGTAATTAAGTCACTTAGACATCTTTCCTAAGCTAACAACATGCTTAATAGTGCAAGTAATAAAAACAGGAAAGGAAACATACTAGTGATTACTTAATGAAAATCGAATTTCCAACAATTAGCACAAGTACGCACTCGTCACCTCACGTACAAGGCATTTCGATTACCAAATATACCAATCCTAAGGGGAAGGTCCTCCACACAAGGTTAGACAAGCCACTTACCTCGAACCAACTCAAAACCACATCTTTGCCACGAGTACTCGACTCCAAATGGCCCAAATCTATTCAATTAATTGCACAATGTAAATAACACTTCAAGTAAATGATTCTACAATTAAATTCTAAGCTAATATGCGAAATTAGGTAAAATGACCAAAATGCCCCTCGAGCCCAAATCTCGAAATCGGGTAAAATTTATATTTTCAGAATCCTCACACTCTCCCGAGTTCATGCATACCAAAATTATCCAAATCTAAGGTCAAATTCCCAATCAAAAGTCGAATTCTAGGTCTAAGAACTTTCTTCCAACTTTTCTCCAATTTTCATCTCCAATCCGAAATTAAATGATGAATTCATATTTGGATTAATGGTGTACAAGAAAAAAGGAGTTAAGAATCGTTACCCAATTGATATTTCTGAAAATCCCTCAAAATCTCGCTCAAATCCGAGCTCCCAAGCTTAAATTTTGATAAAAATGGCTAAACCCTCGATTTTGAAATTTTATATTCTGCCCAGGTATTTCCTTCTTCGCGAACGCGGAAGGACTCTCGCATTCGTGAAGCACAACTTCGCTTTGTCCATCTTTCCTTCTTCATGAACGCGATGTGCTAGTCGCGAACGCGGTGCACAGTCTCCTCCTTTTACGCGAACGTGGGGACACCATCGCGAACACATAAGTATAAGACCTCTCAGTTTTGCGAACGCAAGAGAAATTTCGCGAACGCGAAGCATTAAATCTCCGCCAGCCCCAGCTCCTCTTCGCGAATGCGAGACCCCACTCGCGAATGCGAAGAAGGAAATCAGAACTGGGTTGTTGTAATTTTCTACAATTTCTCTAAGTTCCAAAATGACCCGTTGAGCATCCAAAACACACCCGAGGCCCCCGGGACCTCAACCAAACCTTCCAGCCAATCCTAAAACATCATTCAAACTTGTTCCAACCTTCGGAACGCTCAAAACAACATCAAAACACCTATTTTTCATCGGATTCATACCTAAGAATTCCAAAAACTCTAAAAATACGCTTTCGATCAAAAAGTATATCAAACCTCGTCCGAATGACCGTAAATTTGGCACACACGTCACATTAAACACTACGGAGCTACTCCAACTTTCGGAATTCCATTCTGACCCTCAGATCAAAATCTCACTATCGAACCGGAAACTTCAAAAATTCAACTTTCGGCATTTCAAACTTAAATTAGCTACGGACCTCCAAAAAATTATCCGAACACACCCCTAAACCTGAAATAACCCAACAGAGCTAATAGAACCATTAGATTTTTATTCCGAGGCCTCTTCATACTATTCCGACTACGGGTCGAAATCAGGTATACGACATTGTGAGGACAACTCTA